GGTTTGAGATGTCCATTTTCAAACTAGGAAACAAGATCCTCTGCTCGGGTCACCCTCTTGTTTTAGCTAAAATGGAGACTCACCTCCAAGTTATAGCTCGGATTCCACCATAACGATTCCCTTTCGTCGTGGTTCGTTCGAGCTACGTAACTGAGGCAAGATTTAAAAACCAGAGTCCCGATCCCCCGCTCGGTCACCCGTGTTACCGAGTGCCAACCGGTTCGTCCTACTCATAATTTTACACCATCTCCTAAACTGGTCTGAATCCCCTGCTCGGTCATCCGGAGCACAAGGTCAAGTCCTAGCTGAAATAGTGGCTCCCTCCAGATCAGAGGAAGGTTCTCATTTGGTCGTCCAGAATGATTGCCATTTGAGCAAGTTGATCGAGGTGAGGCTTCTGGCCATGGTTGTGATAGTGTCGTTCGGTCTTCGCGACCTGGTTATCCAACTTCTGGCCCTTTGTGGAAGTTAATTTCTCCCTCTTATGTATATACCTTTTTTTACAAGAGGTGGCAACAACCTTTTTTCATTGGTAAAACTTTCGTAAGTGTTTGGCATTCCATGTTCCTGCCGGTCGGCCTTCGGTATCTTGAAGGCCGAACGTTCCTGCTGCATACTTCTTCCAGACTTGGTAGGGAGGGGCCTTCCCAGTTTTCACCATTTTTCCGCCTTCCTGCGGCTTGCTTTTTTCCCTTTTCCTCAGGACCAAGTCGCCTACTTGGATTGAACGTATCTTGACCTGTTTGTCAAAGTATCTCTGCATTGCCCGGTGATATTCCTCCATTCGTAGGGCTGCCAAATCCCTCCTTTCTTCTATAAAGTGTTCCTTTCTTCAATAAAGTGAAGTTCGGCACGCAAGTTGTCTTCGTTCCTTTCAGGATCATAGTGGATCGTTCAGTGAGTCGGAACTAGGACTTCAGTTGGCACTTTGGCCTGAAAACAGTAGGAAAGGGAGAACGACGTCTCCCAGTGGCTGTTCGGGGTGTCATTCGGTATGTCCAACGAATATAGTTCAGCTAGTTGAGCCAAGTGGAAGAGTAATCTCCTAGTTTATTCTTCATGCCATCCATGATGGTTCTATTCATGTTCTCCACCTAGCCGTTTGCCTGAGAGTAAGCCACAGATGCTCCGGAATGCTTGATTCCCCATTTCATAAGGAAGTCCTCGAAGCTCCTGCTCACGAACTGCATTCCGTTATAAGTTACCACCTGTTCGGGGAGGCCGAACCTACAAATGATGTTCTGCCAAACAAACCTCTGCATTGGAAGTCAGTGATGCTGGCCAATGGTTCGGCCTCCACCCATTTGGTGAAATAATCAATCCCCACAATCACGTACTTCCTTCCTCCCGAAGCTGTAGGTAGGGGCCCTAGCAAGTCGATCCCCGACCTCGCAAATGGCAATGGCAATCCTTGCAATGAGCGGGAATCTAAGACCGGCTTTCACCGAATCGAAATGGACCACCATCATCCCGGGAAAATGACGCATTGGGTGGAGCCCAGCTTGGAGGCGGAAGTCCACCGGGTAGGGAATTAGGGCTGGAATTTGGGCCCTGTTCTGGGCCGTAAGTTTCTGCCGCCTGAACCTAATAAGTGCTAGGTCAAGTTTATGGCGTGGAACGTCACCCGGAGGACCAGCCTCCATAACGTCTAGCTCATCACCGGATTTGGTACCATCGGAATAGGTATTGGAAGAGGAGGCGTCATCACTAGAAACATCACCAGGAAGTCAGGAACCTCCGCCTGTATGTTAGTATTTTCCGCCGCAGCATCTTGAGCTTCCCCTTGGAGTACAGACCTAGAGGTAGAAGATAGAACTGAACGTAGGCGGGGAGCCATACTTACCGAACACGAAGATAGAAGGGAGGAAGCCGTACCTGAACAAGAACTGCTAGAGAGAGAACCTAGAGAAAAGGCAGAGCGAAGGCACGAAGAGATCCAAAGTTTGGAAACCCGGAACGAAGGCCATAAGGGTTTATTTATAACCTAACAACACCGGTTCATCAACCAATCAGGACAGGACACTTCACTAAGAATGATTACAGGGACACGTGTCACGTGGAGAAACACCAACAAGTAATCATGACGATTATCGGGAAATTGAAACGGCAGCCGCAGAAAACCGTCAAGATTATGCCTCGGGAACTGGCGAAATCCCGTCCACTACATACCCGAGCAGCGTTCGGGCAATATTCTTCTACTTCCTTATGCACTCACTACTGTTCGAGACATAGGAAGTGGGGGACTCGTGTTGGGGTATTGGGCCCAGGCCTAATACACCCGGCCCAAAGCATAAAGAAGCCCCAGGGAAAACACGAAGCCCAACGCAATCGAAAAGGCCCAAGACGTCCCGAACGGGGGATACCTGAACAGCATTCGGGTAGATTATTCACTTGAGATAATCAAACAGGGTATTGACATCCAAACACCCGAAAAAGGGGTCCCGCATGCCGAACGCACTACCCGGACGGGTAGTCAGCAAGTGGGAGCCGCATTTAATGTTGGATTATGGCAATAACAAGTAGAGGCATGGGTGCACTCGTGGCAGAGGTAACAACCTACCGGGTTCGGCCACGAGTCCATCTCACCTATCCCCTCTTAGTATAAATACCTGCATTTAATACATTGTAAAGGGTTAGCAATTTGATACTCAGAGCTTAGCAATAGAATCAGTTCTCTCATTCTTGGATTCCAACTCATACCGACTATCGTTCGGGTTATTTCCTTGTAATCCCATAAATACGTAATACAAATTAGCTTCTGAGTTAAAGTCTTAATTGACTATCTTATATTTCGTACACCTTTTAATCTAGATAAACATCCTTAATATCCAAAGCGTGTGTTGGGCTTTCGGATCTACGGGACAAAACCTCAACAAGACTTATTAGCCAACTTTTTAACCAAACACGTAATTTTTGTTTCGCATGCTGAATTGTGTAATAATAAGGAAAAGTAAGTTTGGAATTACTTTCTAGCTGTATTGGCGGAAGTTACTGTAGATGATCATTTTAGGTATTTTTTCATATAGTTTTTTCAATTGGCGGAGTATATTTTAATTTTCTTTCATATGAGATAGTAAAGAGAATACTCATCCACATGAATACACGCCCTCCATTTCTTTCCAAAGTCATACTCTCATCCAACCCAAGAATAAGCATATCAGTTCTGATTGCACTATCCAAGACTGTTTGAGTCTTCCTCTCCCTCTCCTTTTCGCCTCTTCTCCCCACCTATCAAGTCGTCTAACAGGTGCATCACTCGGTCTTCAGCGCACATGATCAAACCAACACAATCGAGACTCATGCATCTTATCTTCTATCGGTGCTACTCTCACCTTTTGTCTGATGATATCATTTCTCAAGCGGTCTTTTTTGTATGTTTACACATCCAACACAACATACACATCTTTGTCACACTCATCTTTTGAATGTGACAATGTTTCACCGCCAAACACTACACACCATACATTAATGCAAGCCTAATTGCTATCTGATAAAATTTACCCTCAATCTAGTCAGCATACCTCGATCACATAGAAATCCTAATGCACTCTTCCATTTCATCCGCTATGCTCTGATTCTATGAGATACATCTCAATCTAATTCAGCATCCATCTGAATTATGGAAGACAAGTAATGGAACATACAACACACCGGTATCTCATTGCCATCAAGGATAATCCCACTATTACTACTACTTCTACCTCCACCAGACTTGCACTTCATATACCCAGTCTTGATTCGGCTCAGTCTGAAACTCTTAGTTTCAAATGTTTATCGTCACACTTTCAACTTGCTTTAACACCCGATTGCGTCGATAAATCAATACAATACCGTCGGCAAACTCCTATACCCCACATTTTAAAAATAAAACGATAAACTATATCATATAATTTGTAGAATATAAGAATGTAAAATAAAAAATAGAAAGAAATTAAAAGTACTAAAATGGAAAAAATGGAAAATTTAGATTTTTAGAATTAAGATAGTATAAAAAATTAAATAAAATACTTCTTCATGAAAAAAGCTAGAAAAAGGATCTAAATTCTATTTTTTAATCACAATATACTTTTTGAAAAAAATGTAAATATGAATAAAAGAAAATAATACAAAATCATAAATCGGTAACACAATTGGGAAAAACAAATTGGAAAAAGGAGAAGAAAATGAAATTTTAGTGAAAATACATTAGAAATTACTATGTTTATTTTATTTAACCTCGTAAGAAAGTAAATTTTCGTATTTTTATATACATGTTTAAAAATATTTAGTTTGAAAATTTATAAATATTTCTACATCTTTCAAAAATTAAGAGTTGATAATTGAGATTAATAAAAAAGATCGACTGTAGTTGAGATTATTTATAGTTTACGCTTGGTTTTCATTTAGAAATGACCTGCTATACATGGTTGTAGCTGATTAGGGAATATTTTTGGAAAATAATCCTTATAGTTAGGACCACACCACCCATGAATAATCTATAGTTAAATTTATTAACAGCGGACCGACAATAGTTGAAATTATTATTTTCAATTTTTCCTTATTTTTAAATCAGATTTTTTATTCTTTTTTTAATTATAATTATTCAAAATATTTCTCAAAAATATTGTTTATATTATTTATAATGATAAAAGAAAGTATTGCATTTAAAATCTGTGCAGTGCCAATATATATTGATGGTTGGTGGATTGTAGGAAAAACTGGATCGATGGAACAATATTTATATAAACTAGTTGTGAATTTTGTTTACCCATATGTATGATTGCCGGTACTCGAAAAGGACAATAATAATTAGGGGAAATAGTGCGAAAAAATTCACTCTTTCAACAAACTCTTAAGATCAAGGAGCCCACAAGAAGAGGAAATCAGGTGCCCTTTTTTCTTGTGAAATGTTTATTTTCATCATAAATCATCATTCATCACAAGAGCAAAACTTTTTTGTTACAACTTACAATACTCATTTCTATACAACTTGAGATCAAAGTTCCAGACTATAACTACACAAAAAAGAAGTGTACAGATCAAGTGTCCAATGACTATTGGACATATAACTCACCAAATAAAAAGTCACATAAAGAATGTTGGGGATGCCAAAATCCACTCCGTAATCTGGAGATCCAAGAGTTCCTCTTTTTTTCACACTTTCTTAGCAGCAGCCTGTATTTGATTGAGCAAACAGTTGTGTCTTAGCCCCTCGAAAAGGCTGAGCAATAAAATCAATAGTGAAAACGCCAGAAGACGACGCAACGAGGGTTGAATAGTATTTTACCTTCTTTAGGTACTTCTTATGAAGTTTCAAAGCACCAGTGCATGCCTTTCTGGCATCTAAGTTGCCCGTTACGTCATTTAATATCTGGGCATTAAAACAAACCAAAAGACAAACATCAGACTATGTTAAAATTCATAAATAAAAGTATGGTTTTATAGTCAATGAAGTTACTCCGAAAAATCTCAATGTCATTACAATGACACCACTATAGTGAGTGTAGTCACTGCTAAACTACCATTATGGTCATTATGTGTTAATCACATTCATGTCCAATATATTTGTTCTGGTCATATATTTGTCATTATTTCTAACAATAACACCAATAATAGCACCTTGACAACATCATCCAGTCCTCGAGCTTCGCTCAACAACTTGGGACTTTTCTCTTTGAGCACATTCGCTACAAGGAACACTGATATAGGGAGGGGAGGTTCTTTACTTTTTCCAGCATTTTTTAGGTACTCTCTCTCATATTTTCCACATTGGTAAATTGCCTTTGGTTTCCCTTTAGAGCCTTCAGATATTTCTGTAGAAGAGTCGGGGTCTTCATATGACAAAAACAAATTAGGGTCATACTCCAAAGCCCACATCATCTATGCAAAAACAGAACAGAAAAACATCAGAAGACACTGAGTAAAGGACATGTGAATGGAGATGCAGACAGAAGTCAATATTACCTCCCATAGATACAGTGAGTCTCCAAAAGAAAATTCTCGACGGAATAATACCATAAGCATTCTAAAAGCAAAGAGGTAATCACCTCCACCCAATGTCTCTGCAGGTCACCAGACCAAGTCATTAATTTTACTTCAGTTTGTATTTGCAGTACTAAATCTTTCGAGATTTGCCTTCACTATAAGTTGTTTACTGGTTTATTTGGAGAAGAGAAACTTTATATAAATTTATACCAAAAGTTAAGTTACTTCAATACTGAGGCACAGAAGGAAAAGATATTAATTACCATCCGTCCATCACCAGAATGGAAAGATTATGTTTGTCACACATGAAGAACCCCTTTAAAGCTAATTTTTATTATAACTAATACTCCCTCCGCCCCCTATTATTGGGACGGAAGGGAGTGATGTGCTTTTTAAGAAAAGTAGAATTATGTGGTTGATAATGAGTTGATAAAGTGAGAATAAAGTAAGAATGAATTAGAGCCACACAAAAATTACCAAATATGATACTCCCTCCGTCCTCTTTTAAATGTCCCGTTTTACCATATTGTGATGTCCCTATTTAATTGTCTCATACCTTATTTGGTAAAGTTTGTGTGGCTCAAAATTATTCTTACTTTATTCTTACTTTATCAATTAATATCAACCACACAAACTCACTTTTCTTAAAATTCGTGTCATCCTCTTCCGGGACATTTAAAAGGGGACGGAGGGAGTATGAGACAATAATAGGGGAACAAACAAAAATGGGAAAATGGGACAATTATAGGGGGACGGAGGGAGTATAATTTTATTAAAAAGGGTGTTCCAAACAAATTAAGTATGTCAAATTTAGTTAAACAAACACATTTAAAAATATAACTTGAGTTGACGACTTCCATAGTTGTATTTTACTAAGATTTAAAAGTTGTAACTTGGTGAAACATTACTCTATTGTTAGGGGGATGGGCGGAGTACAAATGATTTATGAAATCATTTTCTCCAATGTTATAGATGGTCATATCAATGACAAGCACATACCTAAGTGCTGATGGAGTTTAGGATCAATAATTTGGGTGACAGAAGCCAGATTAGTAAGTTGTGTTTCTACTCCAACAGATTTATCCGTGCATCTGAAATTCCCTCGCTTTAAAGCCAACACAAAAGAAATTCATTAACAAGGTGTTTGATATCAGATGAACAAAGATCATATACAATTCAAGTAAATTTCAGGTTCCAACTTCTTTGAAAACTTCACTCGAGGACACCACTTTATTATTACGCACATCATAATTATTCAAACACAGCTAATGTAAACATACCAGTCTGCGCATTAAGTGTTGAAAGCACCAAAATGCATCTCCTTCATTGTCGAGGAGAATTATCATGGGGGAGCAAAGGTCACTCATTCCTGCTCAGCAAATTTAGGAGTTCAAAACGTAGTATCAGCAAGAAGACAGTTAGCCTATAATAATTATAATGTGTGTGAACACAGTAAATTTTCCATAACTTTTTTTAAACTAAAAGACTCTTTATCCAATATCCACTAATGCGAAACTCTTCTATGGTACTTGCTGTTCCAACTCACTAGAGTAATATATTTCAAGGCGCACAATTGATTATGATAGTGATCGGGAAAGTGGTATGGGACAAATGGGGGGGGGGGGGAGGCACACACCTTGACAATAACCAACATCTCTATCAAACCAGGCATAAACAGCCAGAATGTCCCAAAGTTTTGCAAGGTTCTCTTGTTTCTCATAAAACACTAGTGTCCTGTCAGTCCGAACCACATCCAGACCTATTGTAGCATACCAATGGAAAGGTTGTAAGAACAGTCGAAAGGGGGCGGAGTAAGGGTGGGAGAAGAATAAAATAAACAAATGAAAATGCATTGTTTGGAAAGTTTAATACATATAAACAGATAGAAAATGGGGGTGATGGGGGAGGGGGGGAGGTGGGCAACAAGCTTGCACAAACCAACCTATCTGGTGCAATGTCAGTTTCCATTGAATTATTCTTGGATCGGTTTCCTTCACCATATCTGAATTGTTTGGATCGCCTGTAATATGGATTGGTGTTTTCTTAATGCAACTCCCCCATATCAATACAACTGCCTCCCCATAGTGTTCATGAATAATAAATTCCAAGAAATTGGTAGAGTTGTGTGTAAATCAAAATCAGCCTTACTATTCCCAGTTTGCTGAAGTACTATTGGATCTAGAATAGGGTCACCATTCTCCGTGATTATAGGCGCAGTTACAAATTTGCCACTTCCTATCAAGGAAAAGATTTGGTGGCATTCTTCTTTCAGTACACCATACTGTGCCCTGAAAATGTACAAAATAAAAGCATGCGTCAACTTTGAAGCAAAATGTTTCATCAAGTGACATAGCTTTCATCCATATAGTGGGTTCTATTTGAAAAGTGTTTTGTCCCTTGATTCAAGGCTCTAAAAAGAGTTAAACATTTACTCGATAATTCCATCCAGGATAATATTTATAGATCAATGTGACCAAATTCTGTAACATATTTCATCTCCACCAATAGGCTCAAGCTTTGTAAATAGAATATTATATAAGCTATAGAGAATGTAAAAGGCAATTCAAATCTAGATGAAAAATGAGAATAAAAAAAGATACATACAAAAAAAACTACCTTCTATGATCCCTTATCTCATTTCGTTCTGCATATGAGCTTTTTGGATCAAAGCAACCCAGTAAAAATTCCCAAACTTCACCTCTAATTGAAGGATGTATTCCCTATGATGCCACAAAGAACTGATAGTAAATACTATACTTGACCCTCTGTCACAAAATCGATTAAAATCATGTATCATCATGTTACACACATTGAGTCCAAATAAACCTGTAAGAATTTCGCGGCATGGCAGAAAACTCACCCCGCGATGAATTCGGCTAAGTGTTTTGCCAATATCTAGATAACCTTCCTGACTAAATGTAGCATGCCATTTCCTTGGACTTAGCGTTTTCCCCACCTGAATAAGTAGATTTATTTAGCTTAGCATGTAACTGAAGAATACAAGAAGATAGTTATCATCTCATATATCTATCCAATAAATTAAAGTAAGCACCAGATACAAGGAAAAGATTTGGGGTTGAATAAATGATAACTAATGCGTAGTATATACAGATTCTAGACTTAGGTCACTAATGTAAATAATGTTATCCCTCCAACTGCTTGCTACCATCAACTTATGTATTTATACTTAGTGAGGTAGCAATCAGGGGTCTTCGCAAAAACAGTCTCTCTATTCCCAGGGACAGATGCAAGCTCTACGTACATTTCATACTCTTCCGAGTGGACACACTTGGTAACCGTTATGTTTGGTTTAGTTCAGCTTTGTAGTGTCACAGTAATACTTTTCATTGAGTTATAAAGAAAGGGGATGATAAGAGGAGGGAACCAATAAACTAAGGGTACCAATTGCCTACATGTATAATTCCATGTGTTCACATCTCTGAAGAGTTAATTAAAATACTATATGTGGACACACATATAAAAGATGCTATAATTATTTGATTGGAATTGAATTTGTAAGTATGAATGAGTTATACCAATATTACCAAATATAGTCATCATCATCATCATTTACCCCAGTGCCACAAAGGCTCCCCACCTACGGTGGGGTAGGGGGGCGGCGGATGTACGCAGTCTTACCCCTGAACTAAAGCACAGAGAGACAATATTACCAAATATAGTATTGGACAAAAATAGTGGACAGATAAAAAATGAAAAATAGATAGTGGGGCGAATGGAGTGTCAAATCTAAATTGCGTTGCAATGAAACATAAACTAAGGTCATCATAAAAACATGCAACAGATGGTGACCCCTAATACTCCAGGTTTCCAGTTAATACATACTGACAGTATGATACTGTATTTAGACACATAAGTCGCGCTGCGTACATGCTGAGGATCACTCACTTAATATTGGCAGCAGATCCCATAGGTGATCTAGAATGCTTTTACCAAGAGTTACTAAGTTAGTAAAGCAAACATTCCCTCTTGAATTACTTCACCAATAAAAAATTTAATATAAATATGATGAGCACATTCAGAATCCTGATAGGTGTCTGATTTGTTCAGAGTGAAGAGCACTTCCAAGCTAACCCATTTATATGGAAGAGCTATATCTCTCACAGAATTTCATTTACTCTTTGGATATGCTTCTGGAATAGGCTGTCTACAACGAATAAATCATAGATACTTGGACATTGATAGAGAGTGTTCCTTTTGCCATTCACACCCAGAATCTGTTATGCACCTGTTTTTCAAATGCCATGTTACGTCCTTGGTTTGGAAAGAGACCTTCTTGTGGCTGGGGATTAATGTAAACATATCCACACTCCACAGAGAGTCAAATGGTTTATGAAAGAGTATGGTGGAGTACAACTAAATAAGGTAGGAAGGGTAGCCCTATGCTACACAGCACAGACTAAGCTATTTGGGATATGATTGTTATTGTTGGAGTTTTTATGTGGAGGATGTTTTGCTGATTTACATACATGTTGTATTCTAAGGAATGCCCTTGTGCTCCTGTATAGTTTTTTGCTATTAATGTACTTTACTAAATTAAAACCAAACTGTATTCTTGCTCTTGTGTATTTCAGTTTATATTGGTTAATTTTTTTTTTTAATTCGGGATTTCGGGTTGCTTTTTTATTTTAGTTTGGTTAATATACTAAAACTGAATTGCGTATGGTAACCGAATCAAAATGCCCACCACAAGAAATTAGTTAAATAACAGTCAGTATCACCATTATATACATGATCACATTGCAGAAACATTTCACTTTTGGACTTGATAAAATAAAACAAAAACTTTATGAAGACCAAGATTTGATTAATGTATATGTTCTGATCAAACCAACAACATCATAAAGCACTTCATTTCAATAGCATTTGCGTTAATAAAGACCCTTCCCAATGGTGAAGGCATAATATAAACATGAACACGCGCAACGACATGCACAGTCATGCTTGAATCCGAACCAAAAGCCGAGAAATGTAATGGAAGGAGAAACCTAACCTTGATTCTAAACTTGGTCTTGGGAACATCTGTGCATTCAGGACGGACCTCGTAGAAGGAATCAGCTGGAGTTCCAGGGCCCCTCCACATTTCTAAAAGTGCATCTATGCAAAAACCACCACCAAATGAAAATAAATCAAATATCCGAAAAAGAGCTAGGCATGCGTAGCTTCCTCTCCCAAGAAGTAGGCATGCAATTAAGTTACAGATCCTACTTCATAGGTTCTGGACGACGAAAACACGTGGAAATGGAATTCATTCAGATGTTCATTCAAAGGTCCTATAATAACAATTTAATTCTTGAGATTTTATTCACCGAGTGGTTTGTTAGGTGGCCAAAACTAATGTTTTCACCCACAAATATGCTCCCATCCATGTATTTTATGGGTGAAAAAGTGAATGGACGACACTTGTTAAGTGGAAATTTGCTGGCTTATTCACATAGAGAGAATTGAGCTGTTGCAGCGCTTTGGTAGCATCATAATTCATAATTATGAAGTTTCACTTATTGAAGATTTTTTTTTTAAAAGTATGCTGGAGATTTTTATGTTCAACATTTTGGATAAATTCAGGTGCTAAATTCAGATCTTATGCTTATAATACATTTTTACATCTTCCAGTTATTTAAAAAAATAGGTCTAAATTAACAATATCAAAATTAAACTCTAAATTTATTTATTTTTACATTGGAATGTTAGTTTGACTTTTAAAGTTATAATTACTCACAAAAAATTATTTGAAAAAAAATGACGTATATTTATAAAAAAAAGCTTTAAGTAAAAAAAACTTTATTGGATGAATATATTGGTGATGCTGAATTGCATTAAAAACTAAATTGACTGAGAGAATACATATAAATTAGTGGAGTATTTGATTTATTGACGGGACTGGATTGCGGTTAGCCTTACAGTAAGAAATAGGTGTATTTAGAGTGGATTGGTTTTAATCTCATAGTAAATCAAACCAAACAAAATTAGAATTGAACATACCACACTAGAAAAGACTATATAAAACTTAGAAAATACAAGCATTTATCAAATCAGATCAGATTAAACTAGATTAGATAAAAAAAAATATTAGTCCAATTACTTTTTTTATATATAGAGTGAAAATCCAGTGATAAGAATAATTAAAGACCATGTAATTTTCCAAAATAGGTTAATTATACTCCGGGGTATTTTTATTTTCTAAGTAGGTGTAAGTCTTGAAATTTTACTCTCATAATGTTCCGTTACCAGGCTTTTTATTGTCATATTACTTCACTACTACATTTCAAGCTCTAATGTAACACCTAAAAGTATTACAATAGTATCCATAAGTGTTACATTTGGGGAAAATGTAACACTTTTAGCCTATTACATTTGCTTGCGTTGCATTTGATCTATTGTAACACTTTGGAGTTCCTAATGTAACACTAAATATCCACAACATAAAAGTGTTACATTTGAAGGGAAAAGTGTTACACTCAAATAAGATGTTACATTTGAATATAAGTGTTACCTTAATATAAAGTGTTACAATTTAAGAATACTGTTACATTATACTAATACCGTTACATTTATGGAATTCTGTTACGTTAAATATACACTATTACATTTATTAATCAAAAAGTGTTACACTCTATACTATGAAATTATGTGTGTGCACACACTGATTTCAAAAAGAAGAAAACATGCCACATTTTATCAGAATAATACGAAGCAAAACAAATGACATGTTAATCACTACTAACAAGGATTTTCATTAAACTTATTCAAAATCTAAAGTAGTACTGTCATAATCCCGTACTAGAAAAACTAGTCTTCATTGTAATCTCTATACAAAGTACAAAGGGCCTAAAGATAATGATTATGAGTGTAAGCAACTTTGCTCCCAAACATGTGCTGGCCAAGAATATTTTGAAGCCTCTAGCCACAAGTTCATCATGCTCACTGTTGTGAAAAGGCAATACTTCCTCATTCATTAGATTCTAAATTTTCATAATCCTGCAAATTCCAAAAACACTTATTAGAATATGAAAACTTGCTATTTATACAACAATACAGCACAATAGAATGACATATAGTACAAGAACCAACCATTCAATAACAACATATGGGTGATCCGGAAAAAAAATAGTCAAGCAATATCTTAATTGGTTTGATACGAGTATATAGTTTCCTATTCTGCTGACAACAGTTAGCAACTTAGCATCATGAATATCTCTTGAAGCAACTAAAAATTCTGGAACATTAGATTGCTCATAGTCAAACAACGAGTATCTTTCAAAGAAAAAATGGATCAAGGGCTTAGCCTATTGTATGGTCTTCTACCTTTTCCATAAAAATAAAAGAAATATGCTAGTCCAATTTTCCGAAGGCCACAATGAATCTGGAAGGGGAAAAATTAAATATTAAAAAATGGTATAGTTTATAATGTTATCTCATCAAAGAAAATACAAAACAAGGAAAGATTAGTCATAATACTCCACTAAGATAATGTCCAGACTTTTCTAGCCATTACAAATAATGTATTCATCTGCAAAAACAAACAAACAAGATTCAATAAATTAGTTTCCTTTACCAGCCAAGAATAGAATTAGTAAAGCACTAGGTACATACTCCGTAGTAGATTAGCATTAATACGAGTACCTCAGTTAGCACCCATTTACTCCTGCAATTGAAATACAAAACAAGATATCTAAATGAGTACTATTTTTAGAAAAGTAGTGTAATTACTTTTGATTTGACTTTGGAAAGTATGATTAAAATTTTAATTCCATCATTTTTACAAGTTTGTGTATATCTAAATCTCTTAGTCTTTATATAAGAGAGATACAAATGAAAAAACAGAGATCAGAAGCTTCAAAGAACACAAACTAAAAACTTACTAAACATACCATTCTTATGTGTTATGGGACTTTCATATGCATGGACAGTTCATTGAATTGAAAGATAGCTGCAATGTATTAACATGCAAGTTGATAAGATATTTTAAAATTATCCAACTTAAGTGCAAAAAAAATGCAGCCTGAAGTATTTGTAGAACAGGGGCAAAACGCTACCCCCGTTTTATTTTTCATCAGGGCAACAACAAACAAAAGAAAAAAGTATCACTTGTCATCTCTCAGAGGCTTTTAAAAACATGGTTTTTATCCCATAGTTTTAAAATTTCTGTCTCTCTAATTACTGAATTGTTCTCAAACCATGTGTTGTTTTTGGTAGATCATATCAATCTATATTTCCTATCTTCCTGCTTCAAACCTAGCTGGTATAAAGCATGTCTATGAGTTTCACAAATAAAGATGTTCTTGGAATAGTCAACAGACCAAACAATACTAAAAACAACAAGAAATTATGAAATAATTCATAAATAATACGAATAAAGATATATATAGTACATCATAGTAAAAATGTAAACTGCAAGTTTACCTTCAGAAGCTTTCTTAGAAGATATCACAAGTTCTAAAGACCTGTTAGAAGAAAATGAATCGCAGAAGAACGTGGAAATATGGGTCACATTCACCACAGACACAATACCAATAAAATATCTCCTTCTTCTATTGAATGAACTAAAATAACTAGTTGTTCTAGACGATGAGCTCTTCAATGACCAATCCTGAAACAACCAAACAACCGTATCAAAGTCTGAAACTCACTAGTCAAATATCAAATGCGAATACAACTTTCAAGGAAAAAAGTAAAGAAAAGGTAAAGATTATCATTTCTTATGTCTAAAAGAAATAAATCATAAGCTTGAGAACACATTTTACGAAATGAGGATTTATCTACCGCCACACCAGTCCTTGCTTTGTTTAAGGAACGACTAAATTAGGAATACAAAACTCAGTTTTTTACTTTTTTTTTAACTCAGTTTTTAACTCAATATGTTAATGCATAAAAACTGATTAGTTAATATATAGGCATTAACTAGGTTTTTTGATATACTACTACTCAACTAATTAGTAAACTAATTATATACATGTGCTAAACTGGATGAGATTTAATGTACAAATATTAAAATATATGATTCGAAACTGCCTACCTCAACGCGGCAACACTATGATGGCCGATTTGGCCAGGGGTTACCGTCGCTGACTCAGCGGCCCAGTTAGGAAGAGACATCACTGCGTCTGGAGGTCGACCGACAGTAGATGGGGCAGCTGGAGCAATCATTCCTGCGTCTGGCTTTCAGTAGTGCGATGGAATCAGCGACATAGAGCAGAAAACGCTCTTCTCTCCGGCAACCAGGTGCGACGGTTTCATCACACGGAGCAGGGAAGATGGCGCTCCACGAGTGTTCCACTGTCTCAGGTCTTCAATTCGAGCTGGTGTCCAGGTATAGACTGGACCTCTGAATCGGCGGCTCTAGAGGTCCTCTCACCTGCGACGAGCCAATTAGCAGATTCATGGAGATGGCGCTCATTGGCGGTGGGGATACTGAGCGATTTGGAGAGGAAGAAGAAAGTATGCGATGAATTTGTAAAAAGATTTGGTCTTCGTAATCGTAAGAAAAAGAAAAGGTTGGGCGTTAGGGTTTTAGACGGGTTAATTAGATATACTTAGGGGTGGGCGCGGTCCGGTCCAATATTTTACCGAACCCGTACCCGGACCGTTACTATTGAACCGGTTCGGTTCGGTCTTAGACCTAAACCCGTTCGGTACGGTTCCATTTTCAAACGGGACGGTACCATGCATACCAATACCAAACAATGCCACTTTTTGACAAATTAAAACTTAGTCATCATCCAAAAAATCCACACAATTATCAATTTCCATATTACATAATTAATAAATTTCATATAAACTATAATAGTACAAAACATTATAGTTTATGAGAACCGATCATGGCATGGTTTGGAACCGGTACGGTCCGGTTCGGGACAAATTGTTATAGAACCGTTTCAAACCCCGTTTTCCGGGCCGGTACCATACCGGTCCGGTTCGGTACCATGCCGGTTCGGTAATTTTGTCCACCCCTAGATATACTCGTATTTCCCTTTGCAACACTTTCATGAAAAGTGTTACATTCTTATGTTACATATTTACAAGTGATACATAAATCTAAAAAGTGTTACATTTATATCATAAAATGTAACATTTTTTTAATACACTTAGAAAATGTTACATTTGATAGAAGTGTTACTTTGCCTAAAAAAGTACCTGGGAGTAAAGTTACTTTGGGCATGCAGCATTCTGCTCTTCCTATGAAGTACCTGGGAGTAAAGTTACATAAAGGAATTAATAGATTTCATTATTGTGATGATATAATCAAACAATTTGAAGCTAAACTTTCACCATGGAAGAGGAAAAATTTATCTCAAGGAGGGAGATTAATTCTTATTAAACATG